CTCTCCCCCCCCCGCCGCTCTTCCTTGCTCCAGGTCCCCCTCCGGTAGACCCCCTCCCCCCTCAGGATCCTGCTCCCTCAGGTGTGTCTCAGGTAGACCCACTCCCCAGGACTGTGCCTGTGGAGGTCGTTGTTGACTCAGGTGCTGCTAGAGGTGCTGCGTCTGGGGGTGATGCGTCTGGGGGTGCTGAGCCTGCGCGTGCGGAGCCTGGGGCTGCTGGGCCTGCGGGTGAGGAGCCTGGGGGTGCTGAGTCTGAGGGTGTGGAGCCTGGGGGTGCTTGCGGAGATAACTCTATCAACGGGAGCTAGAATACGAGCTTGGCACGGGGTAGGAGGGATCTCTGCGTTCGTTCACTTAGTCGTTCTCTAGCACTTCTGCATTCACAGGGCAAAACCGCAAAGTTTCACTAGCAAAAGTTGAGAATAATGGTAGCAACTAGATTGGCAAGGTAGAATACATCAGAAGCGTAGCATACAAGTCGACCACCAGCTCTGCACGAAGGGGACTTGCCAACTGGTCGACCTCAGGCGTCCTCAATCGACCTGCAAGGATTGCGCAGGTGCCAAGTCGACCACATGTCGACGGTTGCACCTGAGGTGTCCTGTTGACCACGTGCCACCGAACCGCAGGTCGACATTGCCAATCTACCTGGGTGACAGTCGCGAACCTCGCAGACCTCGTCTTCCGGGTAACCTGGTCAACCAGGCAACCATGTTGTCCAGGTGTGTCATCCTAGGCCCGTTGACCACCCAGGTCGACGACCACCACATGTCGACCTCACCTGGTCGACCACTTCCCTAGTCGACTAACTCCAGGTCGACAACCCACCTGGTCGACCAGTACACCTGTCAGCCGCCCACACCCAGTCGGCTTCCCTTGGTCGGCGTCACCCAAGTCGACGCCCTCCACTAGTCGACCTCCCAAGTCGGCCAGCCAAAGTTGGCTCCCTCCCAAGGTCGGCGCCCTTGCAGTGGCCCTTGTGCAGGTCGACCAGGTCCGTCGACCAGCTCGCCCACTGTTGCAGGTCGGCTGCACTCGTTACACCCGACCCTGAGGTCGGCTCCGCCCAAGCGAGGACGGGGCCAACAACAACTCCCGTTGACAGTGCTGAGCCTGGGGGTGCGGAGCCTGGGGGTACTGAGCCTAAGGGTGCGGGGCCTGGGGGTGCTGAGTCTAAGGGTGCGGAGTCTGGGGGTGCTGAGCCTCGGGGTACTACGTCTGCTGGAGGTCCTGCGGCTTCCTCGCCATGACTGTCTCCCCGGCGGGAGCCTCTCTTAGCGCAGCAACTGCGCGAGTGGTTTGCTCAGCGCACACGCCTTCGGAGTGGCACTGTAGGAGCTAGAGGCTCTGCCGCTGGAGGCACTGGAGCTGGAGGTACTGGAGCTACTCGTCTTGAAGGTGCTGGAGTTACTGCTGGAGTTGGAGGTACCGGAGGTGCTGGAGCTGCTGGTCGTGGAGGTGCTCGTAATAGAGGTACTGGAGCTGCCGGAGCAGGTGGTGTTGGAGGCTCTGGAGCTGGAGACTCTAGAGCTGGAGGCACTAGCGCTGGAGGCGCTGGAGCTGGAGGAGCTAGAGTTGGAGACCCTGGCGCTAGAGGCTGGAGCTAGAGGCACTGGAGCTGGAGACCCTGGAGCTGGAGGTGCAGGTGCTGGGGGTGCTGGAGCTAGCAGTCCTGGTGCTAGAGGCACTGTGCAGTGGCGCCCGTTTTTCGTTCAGCCGCCGCCGACGTCTCTGCCGCCACCTGACTCGGTCCTTTGCCAGGTTCTTAGTCTCCCGTCTTCGACTGGCCTTACTCCTCCCTTACTATGTCCACCGCCTGACCAGTCGCAGCCATATATACAGCTAGACTCCCCACTGCCTGCTCCTTCTCCTTACGCTGAGCAGGCAGACTCTCCTTCAGAGCGTCGTGAGCTTGCGTCTCGCCTGCCTCGCCTATTCGCGCTGTTCGCATTGGTCGTCGTGTTCCTTGTATGCGTCCTATTCCTGTCACTGGCACTCACATTATGGCAATTCGTCCTTCCTCTCTTCCACTGCAAGTTCCCCTGTCGTCTCCTCCTGCATCCTCTCTTCCTGGCGTTCCTGACCCTCAGTCGAACTTAGCTCGTGCTGCTAGTCCTACTGTCCCTCGTCTTCTGGCCACTATGGTCACTGACCCTTTCTTTGAGTCCACTGCTGCGTCTGCCCTCGTTGCTGGGCTTGTTGACTTTGCTGCCGCCTGTCGTCTCGACTACGCCACTAGTCTTGTTGCTGAGTATGAGTCTGACTGTCCTCCGTCCGTCGGGGGTGAGTGTGCTCTTGGCACGGACGTCCTTGAGGACAGGCAGGAGGACTTTGAGTGTCTTGCAGCTGCTGTACCTCATCTTGTGGCCATGCTGCATGCACATGAAGGAGACCCGGATGCACCAGACATCCCGACCCCGCGCTCTTACGCAGAGGCGATTACGGGTCCCTACTCCTCTCAATGGCAGACAGCCATGGACGGAGAGATGGCATCCCAGAAGTCCACAGGCACCTACGTCGACACAGTTCCCCCTTCTGGGGCGAACATAGTCGATGGCATGTGGATTTTCAGGGTGAAGCGGTCACCGAGTTCTCCGCCTGTCTTCAAGGTTCGTTACGTTGCACGAGGCTTTAGTCAGCGACAGTGAGTTGACTTCTTCCAGACCTTCTCTCCTACCCCGAAGATGACCACTCTTCGAGTTCTGCTGCACGTCGCCGCTCAGCGTGACTACGAGCTGCACTCTCTTGACTTCAGCACAGCTTGCTTACAGGGCAGCCTGCACGAGGAGATCTGGCTGCGCCGCCCACCTGGCTTCACTAGGTCGTTTCCTGCAGGTACCCAGTGGAGCCTCCGGCGGCCAGTCTACGGTCTCCGTCAGGCGCCTCGCGAGTGGCACAACACACTGAGGACGACGCTTGCGGCTTTTGGGTTTGCTCCTTTGACTGCTGAACCGTCGCTGTTTCTGCGCACCGACACTGCGCTGCCGCCATTCTACAACCTCGTGTACGTCGACGACTTGGTCTTTGCCACTGTTGACACTGAGGCACTGGCCCTTGTGAAGTCGGAGCTGCAGAAGAGACACACCTGCACTGACTTGGGTGAGCTGCGCAGCTATCTTGGCTTGCAGATCACCCGGGACAGAGCACGGTGCACCATCACCCTGATTCAGTCACACATGGTGCACCAGGTCCTTCAGCGCTTCGGCTTCCGGTACTCTTCGCCATAGTCCACTCCTCTGCCTACCGGTCACTCGCTCTCAGCTCCACCTTCGGACGAGTCCGTAGAGCCGAGTGGCCCATATCCAGAGCTTGTGGGCTGCCTCATGTACCTGATGACCTGCTCTCGACCTGACCTTGCCTACCCTCTTAGCATCCTGTGTCAGAGGTCTACTGGTGATCCCCGATTGATCCTAGGGAAGGGTTACAGGCTCGTTGTCCTTGGGGGTTATGGGCGCACAGACCCGCTACTTAACAAGCCCTTTTATCCCAATGGTCTAGTGGTTGGGATTCTGACATGGTATCAGAGCGAAGGTCTCGGGTTCGAATCCCAGTGTGTGCACTTCGGGCATCCCAGTGCGGGGGGGTGTCAGAGGTCCACTGGTGATCCCCGATTGATCCTAGGGAAGGGTTACAGGCTCATTGTCCTGGGGGGTTATGGGCGCACTGACCCGCTACTTAACAAGCCCTTTTATCCCAATGGTCTAGTGGTTGGGATTCTGACATCCTGGCATGCTACGTTGCGCTCGGGAGACACCGACCAGAGCACTTGGAGGCCGCTAAGAGGGTGTTGCGCTACTTGTGCAATACTTCGGGCATGGAGCTCGTGCTTGGAGGACGGGATCCAGTTGTCCCCACTGGTCACGCAGACGCTTCTTGGGTTGATGACTTGGCTACGCAGCGGTCGTCACAGGGTTACACCTTCAGCCTTGGCTCCGGCTCTGTTTCTTGGCGGTCTACCCGCTCGTCTTCTGTTCTCTGTTCCAGTTGTGAGGCTGAGATCTACGCATGGGCCATGGCTGCACAGGAGTTACGCTGGCTCACCTACCTGCTGACCGACTTGGGAGAGCAGCCTCGTTCTTCTTTAGTTCTGTACGTAGACAACAAGGCCATAATTGCCTTGTGTCAGGAGCACAGACTGGAGCACAGAACGAAGCACATCGCTCTGTGTTAGTTCCTTGCTCGAGAGTTGCAGCAGCGTGGTCAGCTTCAGTCTGGTGATCATCAGCGTTTCTGTAGTGTTTTAGGCCTTGTGCCTACTTTGCCTCACTTGCTCACTGCTTGACTTTGCTTGTACTGTGATCTATAAATATACATTCATGCTTATACTTGCTAAGGTATGATCACTGGCCTTGTGGCCATTTGCTTGTGCTCAGAATGCGTGGTGAGTTCGTGATCCACTCTGAGCTTGCTTTGCTTTTCTTGACTGGTCTTGTGACCACTTGTTCTCCCCCACTTTGCCTATGGGGTGTGTCAAACTCATATAGTGCTTATGTTGTGTAGGCTATAGTGGGGTAGCCCATAAGGGGTACAACTCAATTAGGGTTAATACTTGTACCCAATTTTCTGCTCAATCCAACCATTCTCGTTGTTTCAACAAGTAGAGCACAGCCATCCTGATTTTCCAGGGCATTGCATGTAAAAACATCGTGAGAGCTCAGGGTTAAAAGTGACACTATTCTGATATTACAGGGCAAAATCAAAGATGCATCCTGAATTCAGGGTCATCAGGATGGTTTGCCCTGATATCGTGGGGCCTGGCCCTGCCTGTAGGTCATCAACATGTTATGATGGGGATATAATTGATCGCCTGCCAATTGTTTTTGTCACCACCTGACCTGATATGGAAAGGTTCTGTTAATTGTCTGTTATTCTTTATTAAACAGTATTTGTCATGTTTTCTTTTGTTTCCTGGTCTTTTGATGTGTATGTGTGTGACCATGTGCAAGAGGTACCATACTTATCTCTTCAAAAAACAGATGCATCAAAACCACTGCCCTGCGCTAATCTTCTCCCTCATCCATTGGCCTATCGCCTCGACGAGGGCCACCAGCAACCTTGGCCATGATGATCTGCAACACATGGATACACCACACAGCAAAGGCAGGTACGGTATAAGAGGAATGCCGAATATTATGGCAAGTTTGGAAAGAATGGAGGCACAGTGGTAATGCAGAGGGGGTAAGACCGAAGAAACACAATGAAGCTCAGAAACCGTGGAGCAGGGCATTAACTAAGGAGGAAACAAACACTGGAGTCTTTGGAAGCAATGTATGCAGGCCGCGTTCCATCAAGTGAAACTGTAAATGAAGCAGTCATGTGCCACTGAGAAGCATAGAGTAGGTTTGCACACACCTGGTCCACTCGAAGCACAGTAGTCACTGCGTCTGCAGCAAATCGGATGGCCCAATACCTGGGGGAGAAAGAGGGTGCATAGCAGGGCAAGCAAGCCGAATTATTGTGTGATGATGAACAGATAACTAGAGGGCTTCACACACAACAGCAGCATGACAAGAGGACCCAAGGAACAAACAGAGTTGCTGGTCCAACAGAGAGCTGTGGAAGGAGAGGAAGCAGCACAGGCAGTGCATGCCAGAGTGAGGGGGGAAACCAGTGGAATGGGAAAGGGGGGAGGTGGGGATAAAAGGCCTACTTGGTAGCAGAAAGACCCTCACCTGATGCTGTCAGTGGTGGGATGCGTGGCACACTCACTTTGTGGCAAACAGGTCCCAGATGTTGTCAGTAGTCAGGTCCCTCACGCCCGCACCCGTGACATCCACTCCCACACGGAAATTGCCGCCCGTGCCGTCCGGCCCACCGGAGTGGGCGGCGTAGAGAGCAGAGAGAATCTCAGTGACGTCCATGCCTGCATTCTCCGCCAGCGTGCGCGGAATCACTTCTAGAGCCTCACTGTACTTGTCGATTGCGTACTGGTCCAGACTGAACAAGGGAAGGGGGAAGCGGGCAGGGCAGCAGTCACGGGAAAGGGAGAGGATCTCAGTGACATCCATGCCTGCATTCTCAGCCAGCGTGCACGGAATGACATCTAGAGCCTCGCTGTACTTGTCAATCGCATACTGGTCCAAACTGATGGGGGCGGGGGGAGGGTGATGGGGGGGAAACAGGGGGCGAGGGGAGGGGGGCGAATGACCTCCAGAGCCTCGCTGTACTTGTCAGTCGTGTATTGGTCCGGCCTGGAATGGGGGGAGAGCGGACGGGGGAGGGGGAGCGGGAGAGGTAGGGGATCTCAGTGACGTCCATGCCTGCATTCTCTGCCAGCGTGCGCGGAATGACTTCTAGAGCCTCGCTGTACTTGTCAATTGCGTACTGGTCCAGACTGAAAGAAGGGGAGATTGAACGAGGAGGGGGGGGGGGGTTTGGGAACAGGGAGAGAATCTCAGTGACGTCCATGCCAGCATTCTCAGCCAGCGTGCTCGGAATGACTTCCAGGGCCTCGCTGTACTTGTCAATCGCATACTGATCCAAACTGGAAGGGGAGGGGAGAAGGAATGGACGAGGAGCGGAAGGGGAAGAGGAGGGCAGGGAAGGGGAGGGGTAGGGGAACAGCAGTCCTGGGTGGGGTGTGGGATGTGAGTAACGTCCATACTGCACTTGCAGCCAGCTCACTGTTCCCTTCAATCACGCATGCTTGGGCACACACATGTAGAGCATGTGCGGCATGTATGTAGCCTCGAAGCATCCAACGGTATGGTTGCACGAGCAGGGATACTGCCCTATATCCTACAATCTGACCCTATTCCCCTGCTTGGCTTTTGCGCTCTCCCACAAACCACCTCACTCACCCCACTTGTGTCCGTGCAAACTGCTTGAGGCGTCTGGTCAGCTCGATCTCTCGTCTTACACTCCCTCACCCATCTCCTCCCTCACTGATATCCACTGCCTCACTTCCTTCACACTTAAGAGTGCCCCACTCACCCCACTTGCATCCGTGCAAACTGCTTGAGGCGTCTGGCCAGCTCGATCTCAGTCGCCCCTCCCCCAGGTAGCACCCGGCTGTCACGGCACAGCGCCTGATGGATGGGACAACACACACATAGGATGGAATGCGGTGCAGTGCGGTGAGCGGGGCACTAGAGTCATGCTGGAACCCATGCCACGCCATGCCATGCCAAGTCCATCCCTTTGACTTGTTGAAATACGCCAATTTCCACTCTGTACGTGATTCTGGCCTTGTATTATTTTTCGGCCAATTTTAGACTTGGTTCATTTTGGAGTTTGTTGCTAGACTGAACACACCCTAGGTTCAGTTGGGGTTTCACCCCAGACTTTGAACTCAGATCTGCCTAATCTTCTCCTTGTTCTCTCGCCATCCATGGCTCCTAAGCTCATCATAACATGCCTCACCTTGTACGTGTTGATGCCATCATCAACAGCCCGCTCCACATCGTCCAGAATGCTGTCCGTGCTGCCCCGTAGCACCACCGTCGCCACCAGGTTGCCTCCTGACTCGTTCTCCACCACCACCACCTGCGCCATTTGGAGGGGGGGGGAGAGAGGGGGGAGGGGGTGTGAGGGGGACCTGTATGAACCTCCACTATCACTGCTCCGCAGCACCACCGTCGCCACCAGGTTGCCACCTGACTCGTTCTCCACCACCACCACCTGGCGTTGAGAAAGTGAGCGAGAGGGAGGGGGAGGGGGGAGGGAGGGCGGGGAAGGGAGGGAACGAGTTTCCAACACCAGCACTGAGTTGAAAAAGGTGACTTCTGAGTCGACTCAAAAGTCAGGAGGGCGGGGAAGGGAGGAACCGGATTTCCAACACCAGCACTGAGTTGAAAAAGCACGGGGTGGCGGGCGCGGGGGTTGAAGTGGAGGGGTTGCAGGGAAGTGGAGGGTTGAGGGAAGAAAATAACTGCAGGAAAAAAAAAAGCCAATACACCAGCAGCGGCAAAAGCCAATACACCAGCAGCAGCAAAAGCCAATACACCAGCAGCAGCAAAAGCCAATACACCACCAGCAGCAAAAGCCAATACGCCAGCAGCAGCAAAAGCCAATACACCAGCAGCAGCAAAAGCCAATACACCAGCAGCAGAAAAAGCCAATACACCAGCAGCAGCAAAAGCCAATACACCAGCAGCAGCAAAAGCCAATACACCAGCAGCAGCAAAAGCCAATACACCAGCAGCAGCAAAAGCCACCCATCACCATCACCTCTTCCCCCAACCTCCTTTCCCCCCCTCTCCCCCCCTCTCGGTGCATGCATTAGTCTTCAGAACGCCAGATACAAACGACCAGCAGAGGTAGCAGAAGCAGAGCATCACTCACCGTGCTGCCGCCTATCTCCTGCACAGAAACAGAGTCCGCAAAGCCCAGCTCGTCTGCTGTTGGCTTCTGTAGCTTCACCTGTGAGAGCGAGCGGCATGGGGGAGAGACAGAGGGGTATGAGGGGAAGGAAGGAAAAGGGAGAGATGAAAACAACAGAAAAACCGCACCACAAAATACGAAGCGGGTTAGTCGGGAGGACGAGAAATGAGTTGTTAGCATACAGGAAAGTACGAACGAAATGGGGGAAAGATGAGCAGAACATTTGGTTTCAACTGCAGAGTGAAACTATTCTCTCAACTCAACAGAAAGACAATACACGAATCCAACATGGTGTTTCAGCCACCTGCAGAGAGTATCCGTCTGGTAACAAACCCGCAGAACCAGACTACCGCAACGGACAGCTTTCGGCGATGCTAACAAGGTGAGACATGGCTGAAATGCCAATGAAACGACCTGACTGGTTACCGGGTTACTCACCAGGGAGACAGCACCAGTGGTGCGGCAGAACCGCCGAAGCTCAAACTTGGAAGAGATTTTGAGCACCATGAGCCTGGATGGTGCGGGGGGGGTGGGGGATACACACACAGACAGACACCATGTTGGCTTTAAGAAGATGATGAGATGCACGAGTGCGGAGGGTGTGTGTACACGGACAAGTGCACATTGAGTTGTGCACATTGCACAAAGTGCGCTTACCAACAAGATGACTTTTGAGTCGACTCAAAAGTCATTTTGCGAGCGCGGAGGGTGTGTACACACCCTCCATCACTTTGTGTACACATTGGATTCAAACATCACAAAGTGCACACACCAAGTAGAGAGCGAGAATCTCATTATCCCCCTCCTCACTCCCTCCATCACTCACTCCTTCACTCCCGCACTTACTTGTATCGCTCGCAGAAGTGCAGAGCCATTTCCCCCACGGTCTGCCCGCTCACCACCACCGTCGCCCCTGACTCTGCCACCTCCCTTATCGCCTGCTCCACCCGTGCTTCCTCCGACTTGGCGTAATTCTCCAACTGATGCACAGAGGAAGGAGGAGACAATAAGTTGATGAGAGGGGAAGGGGGTGTGGAATGAGAGGCATGGAGCTGACTCCGCCTCCTCCCTGATCGCCTGCTCCACCCTCACATCATCTGACTTGGCAAAACAAACCATATGCCACACAGGAGAAGGAGATCGGGGAAGGGGACGGGAAACAGGGAGGGGAAGCGGGAGGGGAAGGGGGAGGGGAAGGGGAAGCGGAATGGGGAGAGGGGGGGGAGAGGAATGGGAAGGGGGAGGGAGCAGGGAAGACGAAGCGCATGGGACGATGGGAAGGGAAAAGAAGTAGGTACTGAAGGACATGGGACTTGCAAGCACATGTGCCTACTAAACCCCGTGAACTGACCCATCCTCTGTGCCAACACCCTAGCCAGTACAAGTCACAAATACCATTCACATGGTTGGTTAGGTGACTTCCCCTCCCAAAGAGAAGGGAGCGAGAGATGATGGTGGTGGCGGTGCGTTGCTGTCGGCCCGACGAGAAAGGCAGGCTGAAACATGAGCGATGCATGAGCAATGCGCCTTCCGCTCGCCGTCCAATCGGGCCCTCCCTCATTACACGCCCTCACCCTCCCTTTTCCCCACGCCTTCCTTCTACCTTGCTCTATCCCTTTCCCAAATCACTTGATGCCCTCTTAGCTTCCTCTTCTCTCTCACCCTCCTGTCCCTCCATCCCACCGCACCTGCTCGGCATTCTCAATGAGCACGGTGCCCTTGGTCTCCGTGGCTTGGGTGTCAATTCCCGTTCCAAACACCGCGATCTGCCCTCCACACCACACGTGCAACGATGGGCATCAAGACACACATACGTCCACGCACATGCACACAAACACACAAACACAAACGTGCGCAAAGAAACACACGGGGAGCAGCACACACGAGTTGAAAACGCCTCCAACCATTCCTCCTCTCAAGATTGCAGCCAGGACGCTTGCAACAGCATGTGCGTCCTGACAAATAGCCTAGAAGAGCCACAATCACGGTAGTCTGCTCACAAAGTGACTCTTGAGTCGACTCAAAAGTCACCTCGCTTGCAACAGCATGTGCGCACATATAGCCTAGAGGAGCCACAAGCACGGTCGTCCGCCTTGGACTCATGCAGCCCGCTCGTGATAATCCATTGATACGTTTCGGTACCATACAGCACCGCACAGAGCCAAACAGCACCACACCAAGCCACACAGAACCGCACAGCACCCACCTTGGCCTTGGTGGTGTGCTTGATGGTGCCCGTGGCGTCCGTTTTGAGCACCATGCCTCGCACCACCTTGGAGTCATGCAGCCCGCCGCCCAGTATCTTGGCCACTCGCACATTGTCCACGTTGAAGTTGTTGGGGTTGCTGGGACACACCTGCATGCACGCCTGTTGTGAGTAATGGAGGACGAGATGAAGAGGGGTATGGAGGGATAGAGAGGGGTAGAGAGGGACGGAGAGGGATGGGAAGTGGTTAGGCTGAGACCGGTAGCCCTGCTCCCAGTATCTTGGCCAGTCACACATTGTCAACATTGAAGTAGTTGGGTTGCTGGGACACACCTGCATGCACGCCTGCATTGGAGGGCGAGAGAGAGAGGAGGAGAATACGAGGAGGCGCAAAGAGAGGCTTAACGGCTGACACAGGATCGACGGGCGGCAGTCATAGACAGTGCACAGGCTCTTATAGGACTTCCCACATATGAGGACTCTGGCACGGGTTCTCGACTCAACACACTAACGTCAGCAATGAGAGGGCACAGCACAGCACGGGCTCGCTGCCGAACTGCTTGCTGGCCACAGCCGCCACCAGCCGCCACCAGCCGCTTCTCCCCTCCGCCTCATTTCAAGTGCAAGCAGTGGTGCAATCATAGGCAGGCACGACCAGAGGCGCCAGCAGAACCCCTACGGCAATCACAAGCGCGGTGAGCAGGTAGCACCCAGCTTCTCCACTGGTGATTCCAGCACGAATTCTCGGCACTCACATCAGCAATGAGAGGGCACAGCACGGGCTCACTGCCAAACTGCTTGCTGGCAACCGCCGCCACGAGGAGCCACTTCCCACATCCGCCTCAACTTCAAGTGCAAACAGAGGCACAGCCAGAGGCCCCTCAGCCTGACGCAACGGCAACTCACGTCAGCAATGAGAGGGCACAGCACGGGCTCACTGCCGAACTGCTTGCTGGCCACGGCCGCCACGAGGCGCTTCTCCACCTCCGCCTTGCTGCGCACGTCCACCTTGTCACTGCCCTCCGCCACCAGCGTCTCGAGCTCCTCCAGCACCTGGGAAGCAGGTGATACGGGAAGGGAACGCATTGGGGAGAGACGTGAGAGGGGGTGGGGAACAAGAGGGTGCAGCATGGATAAGACACCTCTGCCTGTCTTGCTCCGCACGTCCACCTTGTTACTGCCCTCCGCCACCAGTGTCTCGAGCTCCTCCAACACCTGGTTAGCGGGCGACAAGGGAAGGGGACGCACGGGGGTGAGATGGGAAGGGTGGGGGTAAGGTGGGAAGGGTGGGGGTAAGGTGGGAAGGGTGGGGGTAAGGTGGGAAGGGTGGGGGTAAGGTGGGAAGGGTGACGCAGAAGAGGCCGTGCTTCCTTGAATGTCACCTGTGATTCAGAAAAAGGAAATTCATTCTCAGACCCCTCACTCTCTCAGACCCCTCACTCTCAGACCCCTCACTCTCAGACCCCTCATTCTCAAAACCCTCTCTGTCAAAACGTCCCACTCTAAAACCCCCAAACCCCAAAACCCCTCGCACTTGCAACCCTACCACTCAAACCCCTCTCTTAAAACCCTCTCTCAAAACTTTCTCAATCTCAAAACCCCAACTCTCGATCGTTCTCAAGCCCCTCGTTCTCATTGAAACCCCTCACTCCTTGGCATTGTAATGAAAGTAACATTTTGAGACGTCTCAAAATGTTACTTTTATCAAACCCCTCACTCCTTGCCATTGTACCCCCCAATGATCTCGCAGGGCTGCAAGCCCGACTGCATGAGCCTTTCCGCTGTGAGGTATGTGTGAGCCCACACTCATTCCCATGCCTTCACACATACACCACACATACCTTCCCAGTCCAATCATTCCCCCGCCCCGCCCCCATTCCTTCTCGTCCTCCCCACCCTCACCTTATCCGTCGCCTTGGCGTATCCCGCGATAATCTCGCTCGGGTGCAGCCCCGACCGGATCAGCTCCTCCGCGCCTGCCAGCAGCTCCCCCGCCAGCGACACCACGGTGTTGGCGCCGTCGCCCACCTCCTCCTGCTGCGCCTTGGCCGCCAGCACCACCAGCTTCGCCGCCGGGTGCTGCACCTCCAGCTCCGCGACTATGGTCGCCGCGTCGCTCGTCACGAACAGCTTGTCAAGGTGGTTGATGATCATCTTGTTCATGCCTGGACGGGGAGGAAAGGAATTTACACCCAATAAAGAGGGTATTTTTGTAAGGGTGCTGCAACTCCAGCTCTGCGACGATCGTCGCCGCGTCGCTCGTCACGAACAGCTTGTCCAGGTGGTTGATGATCATTTTGTTCATGCCTGCCCGGGGAAGAAGGGGAAATACACCGGAAAAAAGGGGTAATTATTGGCGGATGCTGCACCTCCAGCTCATCGTCGCCGCGTCGCTCATCACGAAGAGCTTGTCCAGATGGTTGATGATAATTTTGTTCATGCCTGCAAGGAGGAAGCAGGGGAAATACACACGGCAAAAAGGGTAAGAATCTCAAGTTGCTACACTCGGCCGTACTAAAAAAAGCCCCACGCTTGGACCGTGCTCTCGGCGAGAACAAACCTAACTGACAGGAAGAGGGCACCGGCAGCGAGTTTGCATGGCGAAGCCGGAAGGAAGGATCTTATCCGCACTTGACAACCCTCGCACGCTTAACTGTTTGTACAAGTCTAGCCGTCTACCGCTGCGCTAGCTCGCCGTTCCTAAGCGTTTTTAACCAGGTCTCGAGACGTCTTGACAACCAAGACTAGCGGCAAGTGATCTTCATGCATCCGCTTCTCGAACGTTGTTTGCTTATTTAAACTTGACCAAACACCTTGTTGCAATAAATTAGTTGCTGCGAAACACGGATTACATCTTACGAAACTCGCCTACAGTCACAGCACCTCGACACACGACTTGTTACAGCCTACAACTGTGCCGAATCGAAGGCTCGGGATCAGATCCAGCTAACTCCTGCATCTGCAACGTCAGCTTGCCGCCGACTTGCCGTTGCTTGGCCCCTGCGACGGCATCGCGTCCTGCGACGGCTGCCTGCTTTAGCCTGTATCAACCTCTACCACATTCCAGAGTACCGCTTTGCCGCTGCCTGATCTACGGTCCGACACAAGTAAGCGCACCGTCCGTCACGAATCCACACAACGAATCGCGCATACAAAGAATCGCATACGACGAATCGCGTACAAGAATCCAGGAGCTCACCATTGGGTCCCAGCGACGTGCGCGTGATGTGCGAGAGCTGCTTGCACGCCTCAATGTTCTTTAGAACCGCCTCCTCTAACCCCGTCAGGTGCTTGTGCCCTTCCTTGAGCAGCGACTGCAACCCAAATCCCGACGTCATCGCCATGCTTCCGATCAGCGGGTCTAGGATTCTGCGGTTTCGAATTTCGAGATCCGAAAAACGGGATCGAGAAACGGGATGGAGAAATGGGATCGCGGAACGAGATCGGATCTAGAAAATGGAAAGCGATGCTGAGGCCTTAATTCCCTGATTTCAAAGCTAGAAGCGAAAGCACGACTGGAACGGGTGGAACCAGGCACTAATCGGCCTAGGTTTAGACTGTGCGGGCGTCGGCTCTGTATGTTGAGAACACGATCAGTTGTTGGAGGATGAGATTCCTCGCGAATTCCTGTTGCCTTGGTGCCTTGTCTGCTCGTCCTCGGCTTTGCCTTGGGATTGTCTGGACTCGGAGAACCGAGCAGGGCAGATCTCATATGCATCAGGGCAGGATAATGGAGGATAAAGGGAAAATATGCCATAAGTAACCAACTTGGGACTCGGTAGCGTGAATGGTAAAAAAAACGCGTACGGTCACTGTATCGGGTTTTCTGACGGGTTTGGTAAGTGGGGTCACGGATTCAGTCACTAACAACAGGTAGAAAATCACGCTAATGGTCACACATGTAACTCCCACCAAAAAATCTTGAAGCTCAACAAAATTCCCGCTCGCGCCCAACCAATCTTCTAACTTCTAAAAAAACTAAAACCCAATCGGAATCGGATACGTTTTGGGAACGGATCAACCCTAAACACCTGGCGAGTTACGTGTTTAGGGTTGATTCATCTGAAAATGCATCCTGATTCTTTTGGGGTTTCATTTTGTTTTGGCGGGAGTTTCATCTATGACCATTCGCGTTTTTTTTTTTTTTTTTTTTCCACTTGATAGTGACTGATTACGTGAAACGTTTTATCAGTCGCGTGAAAACACCCTTTGCAGTGACCGTACCCTTTATTTTTTACCAAATATGTTATCGAGTCCCATGATGGTTACGAATGGCATATTTTCCCGAGAATAAACTCGATAAGGACGCAAAGATCTACACTTGTCTCAATCATGTTTTTACAGAACAGACCTTACTACCAGTACCAAGCACTGAAACATTCTCACAACATTCCCCACATTTGTTTTATCATATCAAACTTATGTGTCATTTAATTCTGAGCTAGGTGTAAGTGTCCTAAGCACTACTTCTCATGGTCCTTTTCACCATCATCTCCTTCATCCTCCTCTCCCTCCTCGCTTTCCTCCTCTATCTCCACCAGAGTCCCCTCCATGTCAAACACCATCCGTCCCGACTTTGTACACTCAACAAACTCCCTCCCAGACGGTATACTCACTATAGAGCGATCCATAGCCCACATCGATGCAGACTCTCCTTCCTCCCTTATCGCCTGCCGCAATTGCGCCTCGAAATCCGCAGCAACACTATTCAGTGCTTTGTCACCCCACTTCCCTGATAACGCACTTAACCATGACTTGTGCTTCGGCTTGGGAGGCCTGGCCGTTGGATCGGGGAAAGAGGACGAATCTACACTGCTGCTACTACTCGTCCTACTGCTTCCCAATGCCGACGAAGAATCTCCCGAGCCTGGCTCCGAGCCTAACTCACTTCCTGCACCACCCGAACCTGTTTTCCCAATCCGAACAATCCTCCACCTCTTCCCTTTCCGCTTCTGCTTCCCCCCCTCCCCTTCCTCCGCCCTCTCTCCCCCACCAACCTCAGGGTCACAATGCTCTTGACTGGACAGCGATTGTGACGACAAGCCGCCGCTGCCATCGCTTCCCACCCCACCATCCCCAGAACAACTAACTGCAGCTGCATTCCCCCCAGCAGAAGGGGCAGCCATATCTCCATTCCCAGAGGGGCCAGCCCCAGAACCAGCTGAGCCAGACGCAGCATTGGCACTACCCGGACCAGCAGAGGCGTGTGTGTGGGGCGCGGGTCTCCATAGCCAGGCGCGCCTGGGCCCTGGCCCGTCCTGTCTGTCACCCACAAAGCAGTAGAGCATGAGGAGGAGCACGGAGAGCAGCAGCGACGCGCCCACTAGCAGGCCGATGAAGAGAGGCGTGGAGAAGGCGGTGGAGGGGGACGAGGAGGTGAGTGGGTCGACAGGGAGAGGGGCAGGGGGAGGAAAGGAGGAGGGTTGGGATGGAGGGTACAGAAACGGTGTGCTGCTGTTGCTGCTGCCACTGCTGCTGTTTTTGCTGCCGCTGCTGTTAGAAACGGGCGGTCCTGGTGGCGGATAGAGGGCAGGGGACGGCTGGGTTTGGGTTGAGGAAGAACCACGAGAGGGCTGCTTGGGAGCGGAGGGAGACGGGCGAAGGGGGGAGGGCGGTGATGGTGACAGCGATGGTGACGGTGATGGTGGAGGAGGAAGGGGAGAGGAGGGGTCGCTGAGCTGCAGCAGTCCCCCTAGCCCGCCGCCTCGCGTGGGAATGGGCGTTGCTAGCTCCCGGGGATCCCCTGAACGGCCTGAATCGGACTTGGAAGGGTCACCACCAGAGTGGTTTGGATCTGATTTCAAAGGATCGGCTGGTAGAGTGATTGTCGAGTCGGGTGCCCCCCCCGGCTGCGCTGCGCTGGAGCCGGACGGAAGGGACGGCTTGGTGAGCGCGGGAGGGGGGTCTGGGGAGGGTTGGGTTGCGGAGGAGGCGGGATCCGGGGAGGGTTGTAGCGATGGGAAGAAGGGGGAGAGATCGGACGGGTGGGTGGTTTGGAAGGGCATGGAGGGGGGAGGCGGAAGGCTCACTTGCTTGCCCTCTGGCCGGCTCCACCTTCCCCTTTCCGCTTCCGCCTTTCTTTCAGTTCCGCCTTTTCCCTTTCCGCTTCCGCCTTTCCCTTCCACTTTCCGCTTTAGCCCTTCCTTTGCCCGTTCCACTTCGGCCTTTCACCTTCCCTCTCCGCTTCCGCCTTTCACTTTCCCTGTGCTCTTCCGCTTATCCCTTTCTCATCGCAAAAATGCAGGCTCTGTTTTCGACGGTTTAGAGTCATCAGCGCGTTTTTAGGGTTGTGCATGGTCGTTCGTGTCGTGCCTTGTAAATGGATTGGCGTTCAGCCCATTGTGTATCCCAAACCAGGCTCTTCGTACAGCTGCGTAAACGACCGAACTGGGGTTCACTGTTCACCGCGAGCTCCTGCCTTGAATGTGTGTGAATGGCCACATCAGCCTGTTCACGTCGGTTTAGGAAGCGGCGAGTAAGCAGGGGTGGGGGGGTGATCCATTTACGAGGACCCCAGTGCAGCGTGGTGAATGGGGGTGAATGGTTGATCGCCGATGTTTACCGCAGTGCACGAGTACAGAACCTTTCAGTACAATGTGTTTGTAACTCGCGTTGTAACACAGGCTGTAACTTAGTCACCCTGTAACGAAAGTGTAACCCTCAGTATATCCAGCGCGAAATAATATTTTTTGACATATAATGAGAGAGTTGATAACGGGTATTTTCAGTCGTCCAGTAACTCAGTAACACAATTGGTTACATTCTTCTGTAGCTAATGAATGCTTTCAGGGGCCACTATGCATGTATTATTAGTCGTTTTTATAACTAAATAATGATTCTGGGCAGGTGCTAAATAATAATAACGAGAACTACAGATATTTCAAATTAAGAGTTTACCAGAAGATTCACTAATAGTGGTTAGACACTACATCCCTACACCTACAAGTCCCTACATGACCTACAAGTCAATAACTTGCGGGAAAAACTTCTCCTCAACTAAAATCCTAACAGCTCCTGTGCCAAGCACAAACCCAGGAGGGTGCTCCGCGGAGTACACCGATGATTCACGCTGCAGAGCGTCCTTCAGCCACGCAACAACCAGAGCAATCTTGTCCTGAACCACATTGCGGTTCGTGGTTTCACATGTGTCCAGAGACGGCGTGCCCTTGCCCTTGTACGACTGCATCGGAAACTCAATCTGCCATACACATCAAAGAAACAGAAAAGGAAAAAAAAGTCAGCTAATGCGTGTTTTGTAACTCGAGTCAACAGGCTAACAGGTTGGGCTGCAGCTTACCACATTGCAAAGATATGCAAGGGCCGGGATCTTCAGATTGAAGCGCTGGCACTTGCTGCTTCCGAACCCCTTGCAAACCGCCTTCTCAAAGGCAATGGTGGCGAAGGGACGACCATTAGCAGAGCAATGCCAATGGTTGCCATACAGGACTGCAGGTAGCCACAAGGGTAAGAATGAAAGAGTGCAATTCATGATAAATAGGTTAGTCTAAGAACTGCTGCAAGGGTTGAATAAGAGCAGCAAGAGGCGTAGAAGTGCAGCAAAAGGCGTAGAAGTGCAGCAAGAGGCGTAGAAGTGCAGCAAGGGGCAGAGAAGGTGCAGCAAGGGGCAGAGAAGGTGCTGCAAGGGGTGAATATGTTAGATGCGTAAACCGTGCGTATATAAAAACATGTTAAACAGATGAGGGCAAAGTACTCACCATGCTTGAAATATTTCACCCAAGCTGCCACATCTCGTTCCTCCGAGACTATTATCCCCTCCTTAGCGAGTGCCGGCCACTTGTCCTTGTCCACGTAGTACCCCCCCGCGCCCCACCCGTAGTACTTGAAGGTCTTGTTAGTGTTGGAGCGCTTGTTCGAGACCTTCTTCATCGCACTGTCCGCCCACGCCTGATTACCGCCGTTGACGTAGTAGTACAAGTCCTTGACTACGCCATTCCGCATGTACTTCCGCACTAGGTGCGGCTGAAACTCCTCCCATGACGGGTAGAACAGCATCTCTTGTGCAGGCGCCTGAGTAGTTAGAAGCACTTACGTCTCCAGCGCCATTTTCTGGAATGTTTTTAGGGGCAAACAACGCACAAATAGGAAGTCAGTGAGACATATTATCCAACTTTTGTCGCATGTCCAACAACACAGGCAAGCAGGCATTGTTTAACTGAAGAGGAATTATTACATGCGCCACTCACACCGTAGGTATTGTCGTCAGAGAGTGAGGTCGGTACCAGGACGTTACCATCCTTATCCTTGGGGAGAACACCCATGTTCACCCCGGGGTTGTCAGCTACCACCACAAGGCTCGGGGTACCGAGCGTCCCAGTTGAGAAGCTTTCGGCCTGCTCTGCCAGCAACTCCTGGAGAGATGCAATCTGCTCCCAGAGTTGTCCCCGCTCTGTTTCGATGTTGCTCAACGCCGTCGCGTTTTCGAGCAGCTGAGACTGGTACGCATGCACGGTCTTCCTCATATCCTCAAACTGACCCTCCAGGTTGCGAATCGTGTTGCCATGGTGGTCAACTGCAGGAGGAGATGAATCAAACAAACGTAATTAGCGACTTGGTAAAAAGAAAGAAAGACAAACAAGCGCGAAAACTAAGTGACTATAATAGTGACTGGAAAATGTCAGAACATCATAGCTTACACTTTTGTGTAGGCTGTAGTGGGGTATCCCATAAGGGGTACAACCCAATTAGGGTTAGTACTTGTACCCACTTCATTCATAGTCCATTCATCCTCGTTTCTTCTCATGGTATCGAGCAGGTTCCCTCGTGGGAACTGTTCCTAGGGCCCACCAAGTCGAATTTTTTTTTTTCCCTGCCCGGAGCGCGCTTAGTTTAGGCCCGAGTCGCGCCTCGTGTGCCCTCTCTACTGTCGCGTCGCCCCTCGCGGCCTCCCTTGCGCCGCCCTTACTCGGCCCGTCGCCGCCCTTCGCGGCCCGTCGCCACCCTAAGCGGCCCGTCGCCGCCCTTGCGCCGCCCGTAACGGCTCGTCGCCGCCCTTCGCGGCGTCGCGTGCCGCCCTTACGGCACGCTGCCGACCTCCGCGGCCCCTCGTGCCGCCCTCACCTGCGGCCCTGCCACCTTCCAGCGGGCACGCCGCCCTTACCTGCGGCCCCGCCGCCCTCTGCTGCGGCCCCGCCACCTTACCTGCGGCCCCGCCACCTTACCTGCGGCCCCGCCACCTTACCTGCGGCCCCGCCACCCTACCTGCGGCCCCGCCACCTTACCTGCGGCCCCGCCGCCCTCTGCTGCGGCCCCGCCACCTTACCTGCGGCCCCGCCACCCTATCTGCGGCCCCGCCACCCTACCCGCGGCCACACCGCCCTTACCAGCGGCCCCGCCACCCTTACCTGCGGCCCCGTCACCTGCTGCCCAGCCGCGCCGCCCTGCAGCAGCACAGTCGAGCCGCCCAGCAGCCCAGCAGCCGAACAGCCGAGCTGCCGAGCCGCCGAGCCGCCCAGCAGCCGAGCCGCCCAGCAGCCGAGCCGCCCAGCAGCCGAGCCGCCCAGCAGACGCGCCGCCCAGCAGCCGAGCCGCCCAGCAGCCGAGCCGCCCAGCAGCCGCGCCGCCCAGCAGCCGAGCCGCCCAGCAGCCGAGCCGCCCAGCAGCGGAGCCGCCGAGCCGCCGAGCAGCCCAGCAGCTGAGCCGCCGAGCCGCCGCGCCGCCCTCCTTCCGGGCCGCCCGACCTGCCCAGTCTGGTGAGCACAGCGCCTTTTCACTGCACTGTCCTCACCCTACTGTTTGCGCTGCTAGTCGTCTAGGGTCATGGCTACCCCTAGTGTTCTCGCCTTTGACGCTGAGGGTCGGGCCATTGACTTTGAGGTCTGGGTTGATGACCTGCAGCTGTTCTTACAGTGCGATAGGGCAGACGGCTTCTCTCTCTTTGACCTCACCTCTGGCGCCTCCACTGCCCCTGCTGCTGATGCTGACGCCACTGTTCGCTCCCAGTGGGCCACGCGCGACGCTGCTGCACGTCTTGCTGTGCGTCGCCACCTCCCTACCTCCGAGCGTGCGCACTTTAGTCTGTACAAGAGTGCTCAGACCTTGTACGACGCTGTAGTTGCGCGCTACTCCTCCCCTGCCACTGCTGCACTGAGCCGTCTCATGCTACCGTACCTCTTTCCTGACCTTGCTGCCTTTCCCACAGTTGCTGACCTCATTACGCACCTCCGCACTAGTGACACTCGCTACCGCGCTGCACTCCCTCCTGACTTCTGCGCCAAGAACCCCCCCCCCATGTACATCACTCTTTACTACATAGTCACTCGCCTTCCTGACTCCCTTCGCGTAGTCAGGGACCACTTTCTCTCTGTCTGTCCCACCACTCTCACTGTTGACCTCCTCGAGAAGTCCCTCCTAGCGGCCGAGAAGAGCATAGTCGCTGTAGGGGCCTCTCGTGGTGACCCGCGCACCCCCATCTTTGAGGGGTGTTCCCCCTCCCCCCTTCTGCCCTCTGTTGCCTCTGCTGCTGCGGCCGACCTCCTTGGTCTTGAGTCGGTCGGTGCGGCGTCTGCCCCTAGCGGGAGACGCCGCTCTGGCAAGGGCAAGGGGGGCAAGGGCGCTGGAGGAGCGAGCGGGGGCGGTGGAGGTGGAGGTGGCGGCAGTTGGGGGAGTGGGGGTGGCGGTGGGAGTGGAGGTGGGGGTGGAGGGGTCGGTGGCGGCAGTGGAGGTGGAGGTGGCGGCGGCGGTGGCGGTGGGAGCGGAGGTGGCGGAGGTGGCGGAGGTGGAGGCGGCGGCGGAGGCGGAGGCGGCGGCAGTAGCGGAGGCGGCGGAGGCGTCGGAGGCGGCGGGGGTGGCGGTGGTGCTGGTCGCGGGTCTTCGCAGAGGAGTGGCTCCGGTGGTGGCTCGCGCTAGCAGCAGCAGCGTGGTCGTGACACCCTGTCCCCTAAGCAGCTTCGTGAGTGGTACACTGCGCGTCAGCGGGGTGGGGGTTTTGGTCCGTGCTCCTACGTTTTGCGCACTGGCGACCGTGCGGGTGAGCAGTGTGGGGGTGCCCACCCCACCCAGCGCTGCTTTGGCCGCCTGACGGACGCGTGGCGTCACCAGTTCCCGGAGGCCTCCGAGATCCCTCGCTGGGGCGAGTTGTCTAGGGCGGGTGTTGCCATCTATGATCTTGACTTTGATGCTATTCTCTCTGCCATGTATGCTGTGTCTATTAGTGATGAGGGTGACTGTTACCGGTGTTTCCCGCCCGATCCGGGCATTGAGACTGCTGCTCTAGGTCCTGGTGAGGCTGCTGCCCTAGGTGCTTGCGACGCTGCTGCTCTAGGTGCTCGTGTGTCTGCGTCCTCAGGTACTGGTGAGTCTGCGCTCTCAGGTACTACGTCGGCTTCGGCCTCCCTCACCTTCACCCTTGACTCTGGGGCGTCTCGCTCCTTCTTTCGGGACCGCACCACACTCACAACGCTGAGTCGACCGGTTGCAGTGTCTCTGGCTGACCCCTCTGGGGGTCCTGTCCTGTCTCGCTTCTCCACAGTCCTCCCGTGTCCGGCGGCTCCCTCTGGCACCCTGTCTGGTCTCTACCTCCCCTCGTTCTCTACGAACCTGGTGAGTGGTGCTGACCTACAGGATGCGGGTGTACACCAGTTCACTCCTGCACGCCAGCGGGTGACCCACTGTACAGAGGCTAGCACAGGCCGACACCTGGCTACGTTTACCCGTCAGCCGGGGTCGAGCCTGTACACACTGACCACTGCGTCTCCTCCCGTTACTGAGTCTGGTAGAGTCGCTTCGTCGGGTCGGGTGTTTGCTGGAGCGTCCAGGTCTGGTCCTGAGTCTGCCCCCTGTTCGTGTCGTCTCCTGTCTCACGAGACTCTCCTCTGGCACCACCGTCTTGGTCACCCCTCTCTGCTTTGGCTCAGAGGCATGGCCTCCCGCCTTCTAGTGTCTGGTCTCCCCCGGTCCCTCCCTCCCCTTCCTCAGGGCCCTGGCCCTACCTGTGTCCCCTGTGTCGAGGGGCGCCAGCGTGCTGCCCCTCACTCCTCCCAGTTTCCTCCGACAGAGGCCCCGTTGCAGACGCTTCACATGGACGTGTGGGGCCCAGCCCGTGTCCGTGGGCAGGGTCACGAGCGCTACTTCCTACTAGTTGTTGACGACTACTCGCGTTACACCGCAGTCTTCCCCTTGCGCAGCAAGGGTGATGTCACTGAGGTGCTGATCGACTGGATCCGCGCAGCTCGTCTCCAGCTCAGGCAGAGCTTTGGCTCCGACTTTCCTGTTCTGCGTCTGCACTTGGACAGAGGCGGGGAGTTCTCCTCTGGCCTTCTGCGAGCCTACTGTCGTGCACGAGGCATCCGTCAGACCTTCACGCTTCCGGACTCTCCGCAGCAAAATGGGATTGCTGAGCGCCGCATTGGCGTGGTCATGGACGTCGCTCGTACGTCTATGATGCATGCGGCTGCCCCCCATTTTCTGTGGCCGTTTGCGGTGAGGTACGCGGCGCATCAGATCAACCTTCACCCCAGAGTCTCCAGGCCGGAGACCTCCCCAGCCTTGCTGTGGACGGGGAAGGTTGGCGATGCGTCGGCGTTCCGGGTCTGGGGATCTCGAGCGTTTGTCCGCGACTTGTCTGCGGACAAGCTGTCCCCTCGTGCTGCTCCTTGCGTCTTCCTGGGGTTCCCCCCCGACGCGCCTGGGTGGCAGTTCTACCACCCCACCTCTCGCCGTGTTCTGTCCTCCCAGGACGTCGCGTTCGACGAGTCGGTCCCCTACTACCGCCTCTTCCCCTACCGCACTCCGTCCCTCCCCCCGCCCCCGCTCTTCCTTGTTCCAGGTCCCCCCCCGGTAGACCCCCTCCCCCCTCAGGGTCCTGCCCCTTCAGGTGTGTCCCAGGTAGACGCAGTTGAGCCTGTCGAGGTCACTGGTGACTCTGGTGCTGCTGAGGGTGCTGAGCCTGGGGGTGCTGAGCCTGGGGGTGCTGAGTCTGGGGGTGCTACGCCTGGGGGTGCTGAGCCTGGGGGTGCTGAGCCTGGGGGTGCTGAGTGTGGGGGTGCTACGCCTGGGGATGCTGTGCCTGGGGGTGCTGGGCCTGGGGGTGCTGAGCCTGGAGGTTCTCCGCGTGCTTCGTCTCGCCGGGAGCCACTCTCTCCACGGGAGCTGCACGAGTGGTTTGCCCGGCGCTGGAGCCGTGCTGCTGGTGCTGGAGGTTCTTCGGCTTCTGAGGGTGCTGCTGTTGCGGGTCCCGGAGGTGCTCGTACTGGGAGTACTGGAGCTGCTGGGCCTGCAGGTTCGACTGGAGCTGGTGCTGCTGAGGGTGTTGGCGCTGAGACTACCACTGGCGGTCCTGCTGGGGGTGCTCCTGGTGTTACTGGAGGTGCTGCTGGAGCGGGTGCTCCTGCTGGGGGTACTGGTGCTGTCCCTGCTGTTTCTGGCGTCGCTACGCGGCCTCGACCGTACTTCGTTCCACTCCTGCAGCAGGTTCTTGGTCTTCCACTTTCTACTGGTCCTCCTCCTCCCTTGGAGGGTCCACCGCCTGTCCCGTCACAGTCACAGCTACAGCCTACCTCTCCTTTGCCTGCTCCTTCTCCCTACGCTGGTCCTACTGGAGGTCTTACTGAGCGTCGTGAGCCTGCGTCTCGCCCTGCGTCGCCTGTCCGTGCTGCTCGCGCTAGTGGTCGTGGTTCGCGTCCGCGTCCTCCTCCTGTCCCTGGCACACACAGGATGTCTCTGCGTCCGTCTACTGCTCCTCTGCGTGCCCCTTTGCCTTCTCCTCCTGAGTCCTCTCTTCCTGCTCTTCCCGACCCGGAGTCGGACTCTCTTCGTGCTGCCAGTCCTACTGTCACGCGTCTCCTTGCTACTGTCGTCACTGACCCTTCTTTCGAGTCTACTGCTGCGTCTGCCCTAGTTGCTGAGCTCGTCGACTTTGCTGCTCACTGTCGCCTAGACTACGCTGCTAGTCTTGTCGCTGAGTCTGGGTCTGTCTGTCCTCCGTCCGTCGGGGGTGAGTGTGCTCTTGGCACGGACGTTCTTGAGGACAGGCAGGAGGAGTTCCAGTGTCTGGCAGCTGCTTCACCTCATCTCGTGTCCGTACTGCTTACCCCTGAGGGAGACCCGGATGCACTTGACATCCCGACTCCGCGCTCTTACGCGGAGGCGATAGAGGGTCCCTACTCCTCTCAGTGGCAGGCAGCTATGGATGCAGAGATGGCTTCCTGGAAATCCACAGGCACCTACGTTGACGCTGTCCCCCCTCCTGGGGCGAACATCGTCAGTGGCATGTGGATCTTCAGGGTGAAGCGGCCGCCGGGTTCTCCGCCTGTCTTCAAGGCACGTTACGTGGCTCGTGGTTTCAGTCAGAGGCAGGGAGTTGACTACTTTCAGACCTTCTCCCCCACCCCGAAGATGACCACTCTTCGGGTACTGCTACACGTTGCTGCTCACCGTGACTACGAGCTGCACTCTCTCGACTTTAGCACTGCTTTCTTACAGGGCAGCCTGCACGAGGAGATCTGGCTGCGCCGCCCACCTGGCTTCCCTGGGTCTTTCCCTCCTGGTACCCAGTGGAGCCTCCGGCGTCCAGTCTACGGTCTCCGCCAGGCGCCACGTGAGTGGCACGACACACTGAGGACTACGCTTGCGGCTCTTGGGTTTGCTCCTTCTACTGCCGACCCGTCGCTGTTTCTGCGCACCGACACATCTCTGCCGCCGTTCTACATCCTCGTGTACGTCGACGACTTGGTCTTTGCCACAGCTGACACTGCTGGACTCGCCCACGTGAAGTCCGAGCTGCAGAAGAGACACACGTGCACAGACCTGGGTGAACTGCGCAGCTACCTTGGCTTGCAGATCACCCGGGACAGAGCACGCCGCACCATTACCCTGACTCAGTCACACATGGTGCAGCAGGTCCTTCAGCGCTTCGGCTTCACGTACTCCTCGCCTCAGGCCACTCCTCTGCCTACTCGCCACTCACTCTCAGCTCTGCCTTCGGATGAGTCCGTAGAGTCGAGTGGCCCGTATCCAGAGCTTGTTGGCTGCCTCATGTACCTGATGACCTGCACACGACCTGACCTTGCATACCCTCTTAGCATTCTTGCACGCTATGTTGCTCCTGGGAGACACCGACCAGAGCACATGGCTGCAGCGAAGAGGGTGTTGCGCTACTTGTGCAGTACGTCGGGCATGGGGCTAGTGCTTGGAGGGCGGAGTCCAGTGGTCCTCACTGGGCACGCGGACGCTTCTTGGGCTGACGACCAGGCTACGCAGCGGTCGTCCCAGGGTTACACCTTCAGCCTCGGTTCCGGCTCTGTTTCGTGGCGGGCTACTCGCTCGTCTTCTGTTCTCGGCTCCAGTTGTGAGGCTGAGATCTACGCTGGGGCCATGGCTGCCCAGGAGCTTCGCTGGCTCACCTACCTGCTGACCGACCTTGGAGAGCCGGCTCGTTCTCCTCCAGTCCTGTACGTAGACAACAAGGCCATGCTGGCCTTGTGTCGAGAGCAGAGACTGGAGCCCAGAACTAAGCACATTGCTCTTCGCTACTTCCTTGCTCGTGAGCTACAGCAGCGTGGTCAGTTACGGCTCGCGTACGTGGCCTCTGAGGCCAACACTGCTGATGTTTTCACCAAGGCACTTCCGCCTTGTGATCATCAGCGCTTCTGCACTCAGCTGGGTCTTGTCCCTGTCTTTCCTCACTTGCTCACCCCTTGACCTTGCTTGTACTGTTACATATATATATACCTGCTCTCGCTTGTCTAGCCTTATATATATATATGTGCTCCTGCATGTGAACTGGCCTTGTGGCCTTGAACTTGTGCTCAGAATGTGTGGTGACGTTGTGATCCACCCTGAGCTTGCCTTGCTTTGCTTTGCTTGACTGGTCTTGTGACCCCTTGTTCTCCCCCACTTTGCCTATGGGG